CAGAGTAGAAAAAGATAGGAAGTGCTGGCTCCCAGGTTATTATTGACCAACATACCTACCAGTCATGGTGGATGTGGTGTTAGGTGAGGTTTTAGGAAAGGAAAGACAGGGGCCAGGCCTATAAAGATGGGAAGAAGGGAAACATGTATGGAAATAATGGACCCCAGATTTCTCACACAATCCTTACATTCACCCTGTAGCTTGACCCTCAATGTAGTTTCCCTACTGTGGCTCTCTCTTCTTGCCCCAATTGCATTCCTGCAGTGGGCTGGACAGTAAGCTGTGAAATTCTCACTGTGGTTTCTCTGATGGTGTAGCTTCTTTTCAGGCAGATCAACTAAATTTAATTTAACAAGTCTTTATTAAGTATCTACTTTGTACTAGCCATTGAGAATACCAAGTCAAAATTTCCTTCAAGGACCTTACATTATATTTGATTGTGGGAAAGGAGTTTTAGAAATATATACATAAATTAAGTGTAACCTGAGCCCAGGATGCCTCCCCACCTGTTTTATTATGTGCTTCTAAAGACTAGGTCTGATTCTGGAGTTTGATACCATAGAGGTTTATTAGATATCTCTCCTTGATTTGTTTCTCTGCTTGGAGTAACTCCAGAAAAATCTAATACATTTATGGTATAGGTTGGATTTATGTTTTCCCAAATGTAAGTAACAGGATCTCCAGCTCCTATACAAACATTCAAGATGTCAATATGGATACTGGGTATGGGACAACCTTTATTCCACCCCACAGAAAATGCAGAAGAGATAAAGTACTTATAGGAGCACGTAAACAGATAACAAAACACATCAAGAATGAATCCTTATACTCTCTTCTAGCTCAGAGAAAGAAGCTAAGCTTGAGGTTTGAATCAGGGTAACAACCTGACATCCTGGGGAGTCCTTCTTTCTCATATTTCTATACAATCCACTCAGTACTCTTGCATGGGTGGTTCAGTGGTAGAATTCTCACCTGACATGGGGAGGCATAGATTTAATCACAAACCCAAGAATGTACCTTTTTTTTTGAGGCAGTATAGTAACGTGGAAAGTTCAGGGGTTTTAGACTCAGAAGATCTGGGTTTAAATACTGGGCAAGCCACTTAATGGCTCTGTTTCCTCATCTGTAAATGAGAAGATTTAACTTAATGACTCCTAAGGTCTCTTCCATCTCTAGATCTATTAGCTTGTGAGCTTATGATTTATACTTTAAACGTAAATTAGGGGTTGTTGAACATCCCATCATCTTCCAATCAAATGTACATTGTCAATGTAACTTGTTTGTTTTGTTTTCCAAGTTGAATGCTGCCTAGGAACTAGGTGGATGATTCTCTTTTTCTAAGATTAGCATGATGTCAGGAAATCCTGTTCTCTCTCTAGAAGAATTTTTCTTTATTTTTTAAAAAAATTCATGCCATTTCTCATGAGTAATCATAGCACACTACTGGAGAGGTAGGAGACTCATGTATGCACATGAAATAGAAAGTACAAGTTCCACACAATTAATATCATACTAAGTCAAAAAAAAAGTCTGTGATATAACCTTTGAGAACCACTGATGTAGAAGATTCAATTAAAACTGGGGACTCTCCAGTTTGAAATTATGCCATGAAGTAACCTCTAAAGCTAGAACACTATTTTTGGGCTGATGTCAAGAGGTATGTGTCTGTTTCTACGATATGTTTTATTTCAAAATATCTGATTTGATTTTACTAACTCTTTGGTTCTGAAAGTCCACTCTTGGGATTACTCCTCTAAGGCTACTCATGATTCCTAAATGCCTTTGCCCCAAGGCAGCCATTTCAATACCTTGTGGTAGAAGACAGATTTCTTATTCTCTAAGACCCACTCTGACATATACTGGTCTGTCTTTTTAAGGTAGAAAGGAAGTCAAAGAGAATGATCAGATCTATTATGTCATTTTTTTAGACTGAGAGAAGGGAAGATCTCCCCCCAAGAGTGTGTACTCCTGAGATCTAGTCAGACTAGTTATCAAGATGCCTGTGGCCTGCTCACAATCCGTAGGAGAGTATGTCTCAGATACCTCCAAAGGCCTTCACCCAATAATATAATTAATTTTTAGGGGAAATCATTAAATTGGTCATGAACCCTCAAATTAATTCTCCTTAAACAAAAATTGATATTCACTTAAAAGACATGTGAGATGCACAAATTTAGAGAATTCACTCCAAATGTTCACATGGATTATTTGTGCCTGAACTGTGGTAGAACATTCCAAGCTCATATTGGTCTGATCAACCATAGTCAGACATACTATAACTTGACTCTAGTGTAGTGATATCATTTTGGTCCTCTTTGAGAATGAAGGACAACAACCATGTGCATATTTAAAATTATAGTACCTCAATTAATTTATATATTTAGATGCCATACCAATCTAATGCTGAGGGATAGCTTTATGTATTTGGCTTTATTGCATATACACACATATGTTAAATAAAAAATAATTAGGATTGAGGAGAACATCTTTTAGAACTTTGAAAGCTTTCTGTGTTAGCAATGTTCAAATAACCACAGCCTTTTGTCTCTTAAGGAATGAAATATAAAACTATTTTTTTAAACACCACTGCTACTTTTTAATACTCCTCCCTACTACTAAATAAGTACAGTTAAGAAAAACAAATAAATATGTAAGCTGTGTCTGAAAATGTATTTCTTATTATCAACCTTTTCTTTACTGATAGATGAGAGGCATACTTCATCAAATTCTATGAAGTCAGTATTGGTCACTACATTGATCGAGACTCTGAGGCCTTTTCAGCATTCTTTCTTTTACATTAGTGCGGTCATCTTGTAAATTTTCCCCTGGGTTCTTCTTACTTTACTCTATATCAATTCATGTGTTTTGCTAATTTTCACTGAATTCTTCGTTTTTGCTATTATGGCCCAATAATCTTTTCATATTTAGAACATGTATCTGTTTGGATTTCACTGTAGCAAATCATGTAAGATAGTGATCTAAACCTAGTTTTCATCAAGGTGCTTTCTCTTTTTCCTGCCAGTTTTTGTTGAATAGGTAGTTCTTACTCCAGTAGTTCATGGCCTTGGTTTTATTGAATACTAGGTGCTCTGTTCAATTGCTTTTGAGGTTTATCTAATTTATTCCATTGACTATTTTTTTTATTTTTAACCAGCATCATGTTGTTTTAATGAATGCTTCTTCATTGGGTAGTTTGAGGCCTGGTTAAATGCTAGGCCCTTTTCAGTCTTACTTAGAAAAAAAATTATTTTTGCATTATTTTCCTTTAGGTTCTTGACCTCTTTCTCTAGTTGAATTTTGTTATGAGTTTTGGTATGTTATGTTCTATAAAATGATGCCCAGGTACCTTTTGTATGGCACTTAAATCTATAAATTAATTTGGGTAGTATTTTAAATATTGGTGTAACTCATAATCTAGTACAGGAGAGAAGATATATACAAAGAATTGAACTATAAATTAGAATATGGCAAGTGCATAGTAGCTACAGGATGCTAAGGAAAGAAAGAGTAGTATAGGCTATGAGGTCAAGAAGAACATTATGGAGGGTTGGCATTTGATCTGGCCCTTGAAAGATAGACAAAAGAATTTCAACAGGCTGAGATAGTGAAAGTACATGTGATTTCATCCAATTTCATTACACTTTTTAATTTCACTTCAATAAATGTCTATTGAGTTTCTGCTAAAAAAGCTATAAATATTGGTGTACCTCTACCATGAATATCAAATATATCAATTATTTGTCTCTATTTCCATAAAGAATGTTCTGTTATTGTATACATAACTGAATAAAAAAGCATCTACACAAGCACTAACCTTATACAATATTTGCTTATTATTGCCCTCTTCAGATTGTGAGCTTTTAGGGCAAGTATTCTTAGTGGTTAATGTAATGCCTGGCATAGAGAAGGTGCTTAATAAATTAACTGACTGAGTCCTAAGGGATACAGAAAGACAAGATAGTTCCTGCTCTCAGAGCTATCTTTTATTTATATAAGTCCTGAGCTTGTCTTAGCAAGTTGACGCCTTGATATTTTATTAATTGTGTAGCAATGTTGAGTGAAATTTCTTTTTCTATGTCCTCTGAGATGGTTTTGTTAATAACATATAAAGGATGGGTCTTATTATGGGTTTATTTTATATCCTGCTATTTTACTGGATTTACTACAAGTTTCTGTTATTTCATTCAATCTTTAGGATTCTCTCCATCATCTACAAATAGAAATATTTTTTTCCTACTATTTACTTATATTTATTCCTTCAGTCTTTTCTTTGTATTATTATTAGACAGTATGTCAAATACCACAGTAATAATAGTCATCTTTGCCTTACTCCTGATCTTACTGGAAAAGCATCTAGTGTTTCTCTATTATACAGAATTCTATCTCTTTTAGCTAGATATTATTTATCATAAGGCTAGGTCCTTTTTTTCTCCTTATGATTGTTAACTGCTGTTAACATGAATGAGTACTACATTTTGTCAAGCTTTTATGTTTCAATTGATATTTTAAAAATAATTGTTATTAATATGGTTTATTTGTTGATAGTTTCCCTAATGATGAACCATCTCTGAATTCCTATTGTGAATGCAAAATAATCACAGTGAAAATATTTTGAACATATTGTTATAACCTCTTTGAAAATAATTTTAGTATTTTTATAGCAAAATTCATTAGTGATATTGGTCTTTAGTTCTCTCCCTCTGGGCTCTTTCGACTGTATCATATGGTATCTATTTAAGTACTCAGAAATGATGCTATTTTGTGCATATGTATTTAATATTTTTATTGTCCCAGTATATATAGTATATTTAAGAATAATGTAATTTCCTTGCTGAGCTTGTTACGTATTTACGTATTTTTTGTTCTTTTTTTTTGAGATCATGATTGCCATTCTTTTAAAAAATTCATCTAAAGCATAATGGATTCTACCACAACCGTTCTTTTTAATTCAGTGACTCTTTATGTTTTAGATGTGCTTCCTGAAAACATCATATTATCTGATTTTTCTTTCTGATGCATTCTGCTACCAACTTCTATTTTCTGGGTAAGGTTTATCTCATTCATATCTAACATTTTAATAATTCAATTTGTTTTCATTTGATCAAAACTTGTTGAAATGTTTCCTTTCTTGGCCCCCTCTCAAAGAAAAAGAAAGCAGGGGAAATAAAAGGAATGAAATCAATACTTGTAACCTATAACTGGAACTTTCTTATCCCTCCCCTCCCCACGTTTCTTTCTTTACTTAATCTAGACCCAGACCACTAAGTCTTTCCCTTGTTCTCTCTCTTTTTAATCCCTCCATTATAATCACCCATACCCAACTCTGTCCTCTCTCTTACCCCATCCCTCTTTCTTCTTTCTGTCCTCTAAGTTCCATGTTTAGTTTTTTATTCTCACTAGCCTGTGATGCTGTGTTGGGGAGAGATATGACATTGGGTTAACTGCACAATGGAGAGATAATTTAGAGTTCAAGAGAGATAGGTTGAGAGATTCACCTGTGAAATTTTGAATGGCAGACAACAAATCTCTCTGGGGTGGATGCCACCCCTTCCAGAATATATTGATTTCTAGCTCCTACTCTGTAGAGACTCCTAAGACCAGACACCTCTTGGTGAAATTGTTCTCTCCTCAGTTGAGCGTTATCTTACTCCCAAGTAGAAAAGCACATTATTCTGGTGTATTCTATAGTCTTCTCTAATCTATAACTTCTTCAACTTTATGATTATTGCTTACTTTGATAATTTAGCTAGCATTGATTATAATACTTTGTAGTTTATAAGATACTTTACAAATATTATCTCATTTTATCCTTACCACATTCCTGGTTGGTAGATGCTGTCATTATTTCCACTTTACAGACAAGGACACTGAGGCAGATAAAAGTTTAGTGACTTGCCAAGGGTCACTGAGCTGATAAGTATCTGATATAGTATTTGAACTCAGGTCCTCCTCAATTCAAGTGCAGTATTTTACCCACTATATAAACTAGCTGCTTCTGTTATTTATTTATTTATTTTGTATAACTAGCATTTGGTAGGAGGAAGCTAAGCTGGAAAGAATATATTATCTTCTATCCTCTCATTGAGAGTGATCTGGGAAAATGGAATTTATTTTGAACCCTTTATTGTACATCAAGTGTGGAGATTTGATGTATGGTAGATGGAATTCTAGCCCAATACCCTTTTCAGGAATAGGAAAATGGAGAGATTGCCCAGACAGTGGCCCTGGATCCTACTTACCATACCATAGCTAGGATACTGGTGGTCCTAATACAGACCTTCTCCCACTCTCCTCATCTATATTACCGGTGAGGATTCATCTGGGATTCTTGTATTTCTATATTATACTCTTCTCCTCCAACTTTCCCTTGAAGTTTATGAGATAACCTACTTCTCCTCTTCATACCTCTAGGTTTGTAGAAAATTCTGTTATACCCAATTTTGAGAATTATTAAGTTCCTACCTTCTCCTCCTTTGGTATTTCCTCTTCCCCTTCCATTTTACTTTCTATCATATAAAGAAAGCCACACAATCACTCAGGCCCTGAATTAGAGTTTTCATTCCATCTTTGATGCTTGAAGATGGTGGAATTTTTAAGGGATAAGAGTCTATTCTTCCATTCTTGGGGATGTAAGATCTTTATTTAGCCTTTTAAGTTGCTCAAATTTCTTTACCTTTCCACATCTCCTTTGTATTTTGAAGATTGTATCTAGCTTTGCTTTTTTCAGTGGTATTGCTTGAAAGTCATTAATTCTATTAAAGTTCCTTTATTTTCCTCTGTAGGTCTATGTTCAGCCTTTTAGGATAAATTATTCTTGGATATAGGTCTTTTTCTTTGCCTTTTACTGTACAATATACTAAACTTTCCTTTCCCTGTCCATTTTTTTCACTTAACCTTATGTGATGTTTACAGTGGCTCCTCAATCTTTTACTTCTTGGATGCTTGTGATGCTTTGTCTTTGGCCTGGAAACTATGGAATTTGGTGACCAACTTTCTGGATGGGCTTTTGGTGGGCTTTCTTTAAGGTGATGATCTGTGGATTCTTTTTATTTTTCACTTTGGTCTCTGGTTCCAGTAGTTCTGAGGAGCTTTCTTTTATAATTTCTTTTTATATAATTTTCAGGTTTTCCTGAATTGCCATGGTTTGCTGAGCTCCTAATAACTTAAATTTCCTCTCTTTATCCTATATTATTACACAATTGTTTTATTTGGTAGAGTTGTTAAGAAAATAAGGGATTAGACTATTTGATGGTGCCATTTTAAAGAGAGGAAGCCAGGGGTGGAATAGAAGAAGCATAGGGAGGAATATTAGAGAAAGATTCCAACAATATTATAGGGATATAGAGGGAATCTCTCCACCTACCCATGCATGCTCACTGTCACTTTCTCTTTCCCTCTCACTTAGGGATCCAAGAATAAGACCTGGAAGCCCAAGAATTAATAGTGAAGTAGTTTTAAATCATTCATATGAAAAACTCCACCTGGGACATAGTAGAGATAATGGATTATAGAATAAGTTTGTGGGACCCTGGGCTTATGGACCCAGATTGGATGTTGGTGTGATGATTGCTTCTTTTATCCTTGAGACTTTTACATTGGAGCATAGGGAGGATTCAGTCACACTCCCAAATAATTTGGTTTTGCTTAGTTAAAGGTTTTGAAGAATTGGAGGGTTTAAGCAAGCATTTCAGTGTGTCTCCATTTCCATGGAGTCTTCAGAAAAGTAAAGTTACAAACTCAACCTTTAATGACAAAGGGACTAATGCTACTGATGGAAGTGAATGTGGTTGGTCTATTTCCTGAGTGGCACGTGGCTACTCATAGATTTAGTATTGTCTTTTAAATTCTAATTTATTGATGAAAATGTATTACAAAGTATTATTGAATTGTGCTTTTCCTTTAAGTCATGTGAGGTGGGGAAGGAGATAAGAATCTTAATGGGAAAGAAGGCACAAGCTACATTTGGGGATTTTCCAGGAATTCTGGGTGGAGTCACAATAGCAAGGCAGTTTTACATTTGTGAAATATTGTATGTGAACGATTATACATTTTAATCCTTAGATTGGGCAGAGAGAAACTTGAGCCAAGGCACGGCAGGTAGTTCTACATTTAGGAAAAATTCCTGAAGTAGCTGTAGCTTCAATATTAGTTCCTTATGTGTAGAGGATATTAACCAACCACCTACACACAGAGTCCTCCTGGCATCTCTACTAGCAGTGGGTCAAACTCTAAATTTACATGGACAAAGATACTTAGAGAAAGAAGAAGAGTGAGAAGGGAGACCAGGAAAAGTTACAAGCAATAGAAACAGGAGCATTTGAATCCACAGGTAGAATATCCTGGTCATTTAGATAGGTAAACAAAGAAAGTGAGTATTGAATAAGGATCAGGCCTTCTACCTCCAAAAATTAATGTACCACACTGCTTCTTTCATGAGATGATATCTCACAGAATGAGACCCATTGTAGAAAGTAAAGTACCTAAAAACCAAATAAGAACTTACAAACAACAAAAAAATTGAGGGAAGAAATAGTATAATGTTTGATTGTGCTAACAGCAAAAGGAAACAAAAGAAAGACCAAATCTCTGTCCTCCTAACATATCTACATCAAAATATGTTGGAAGAGAAAAGAAGTAAGGAGGAAACTTATGATAACTTATTGGGAAAAGAAGCACTAAAAATGAATATTAATTAAGAAGATGATTTGGGATAGAAAACAGGATTATGAACCCCACTCTTAACTAGTCTTGGAGAAGGTAGAGTAACAAGAAAAACTTAAAGCAAATTAAAGAGAAACAAGAAAGAATAATAATTTAAATTAACTCAAGAAACTAGCTATAGGGTAGGGAAGTAGAAAGGAGGGAGCAGTGCTCATCAGTGGAAACTTTGATCAAATTAATGAAAACAAAGCTAGGTACAGAGACAAATACTCACCTAAAATGGGAAAGGGAAAATCAATACAAAAGAAGTAAATAGAGAAAACACAAACTTAAAAATTATAACCTTGTATGTGAATTGATTAAATTGCTCTATAGAACAAAAAGATCAAATGGCAAAATGGTTAAGAAAACAAATTTCAGCATTTGCTGCATACAATAAATACATTTAAAAATAAATTCTTTGCAAAATATAAATGAGCAGCCAGACACTTAATATGAATGAAGTGACTTCAAACCACCCCCCCAGAAGTTACAATAATACTATTGAATAAAACAAAAATAAAAATTCATGATTTCAAAAGATAAAAATGAAAATGATATTGTATTTAAAGTTGTCTTAGAAAATGAAACAATACAATTATTAAATGAATTTGTACCCAATACATTCTATCAAATTCATAAAATAAAGAATAATTAAATTTCAGTAGCAATATATTAATTGTAGGTGACTATAAAGTTGCTCTTTCAGCGATATGTGAATCTAAACAAAAAAAAACAAAAAAGGAGGGCATAGAATAGACTTATTAAAGTTAGATTGGGGAAAAAAAGCATGACATCTTCTGAATTTGAACATTAAAGAGTATACATATTTATTAGTATTCTAAGTACCTTTATAGAACTTGATCATATTTTAGGGCAGAAAGAGATCATAAATAAAACTTAAGTAGCCATGAAACATTGAATAGATCATATAAGCAATAGATAAGCTTTATAGATCATAAAGCAATAAACTAGTAATCAATATGGGAAATACAAGCAAAATATGTAAATCTAAATGAAGACTAAATAATGCCACCCCAAATGTGTGTATTAAAGAACAGATCCCAAAGATCATAAATAACTATACTTTTTCCAGTGAGTGTAAGGATAAGGCAAATATGCCTTCTCTCCCTACTAGTACTTGGCATAATTCTATGAGTAGTCACAATAACAGTAAAACAAGTAAGATAAGTTAAAAGTATTCAGATTGGAAAAAGGTAGCCAGCTGACTTAGTGGATAGAGTGCTAGGCCTGGAGTCAGGAAGACCTGAGTTCAAATGAGGCTTCAAACACTTACTAGATGTGTGACCCCAGGCAAGTCACTTAACCTGTTTGCCTTAATCC